ATTAGACATGTCTAGGGATTTTGTTTGGCGTAGCTTGCTTACAAATCAAGAAAGTATAGTTGGTAATTTCCTTCCCAATACGCTGTTCCTACAGTTAGTCTCGTTTATAAAATCGTTTTCTGAAGATAAATAATATACGGTTTTCCTCGTCAAGAATATTTTTCCTTTCAAGGAAGTTTTTCGACTGGTAAATACAGTGAACGTGCTCAATGGACGAAAAATCCTAATATTTGTCCTGAGGCAACATTCGTCCTACAGTACGAGAGCTGATGTGCGCCAGATTTCGCACTGATCCACTTATTGTATACTAACTTGGTGGCATTTGATCGAGCTTTAGCGCGCATACTAACTTCTTAAAAGGCACTTGTGTAGTATATCAACCTTAAGGTTTAGAAATGCGCATTTTAAAACCTCAAAATCATTTTCTTCTCGGCGATGGATTGTGGATGACGTTAACATCTGTTCTATTTGGTGCTGTCTATCTATTTGAGGAACACAGTTGATCCTAAATGACTGAGTGGAAGTCAAAGATACGCTATATCTCTGGTCTGTGATCAGCTCTTCTGTGAAGGCTAGTTCGCGTTAGCGGTAGAGATGGCCACCAAGTTGCTGAAATTGATCAGGAAAGTGCGAGAACCACAGTCATTAGGGCTATTTGGCACTGATTGCATTCGTTTGCAAGACGAAATATCGATTGAAATTCTTTAATTTACCAATTCCACATTCAGTGGGTAAGTAGTTCAGAGGAAAAACAACTTCACGAGATAAGTGAAACTTCTTGTAAGAGTTGTCATTCAAAACTAGATATTATGTGGAAACATGATGTGGTTTCCCTGATTGGGTGACGATAGGCGCTATATCCTGTCTAAGAGCAAGTTAATCACAATAGTGATCAGCCACTTTTGGACAGACGGTTAAGTGTCAAGCAGGCAGATCGCGGGTTCGAGACTCTCTGCAACTTCGTGAGGTGCGAATTGCTGATAATTTCCGATGAAGATGATTTTGTTGTACGATGCATCTCGACATTTCATCGTAGAGTAGTTTCACTTACAGGACGAAATGTGCGTTGGAGACGAATACCGTAAAACAACGGCGGAGATTTCTAGGGATTTCATCCCTTCATGGAGAAAGGTTGAGAAACTATGGTCAGCATCTTTAGTCGTGTTGTTAACCGTCAGAAATGTGCATCACACGAATCTCCAGGGACATTCGAAATCGCGCTTTTCTGTCTAGTAGTTAAACAGATAACGAACAGCGTATAGCACCACTCATGCTTCAACCAGGAATTCGCATTGCCTGGTTGTGCGGTTTACACTGCCGGAGAGTCTCAACGAAAACAACAGCACCCTTTATTGTCTTTCGGGTTTTTGACACATATTGACTCCAGATGCAGGACCAAATCTCCGGTAAACGCTCAAAATAGTCTAATGACGGCCCCAGGCATAGTAAAACTGTACCTCTTCCAAAACACAAACTATTTTTATTTATTTATTTATTTATTTATTTATTTATTTATTTATTTATTTATTTATTTATTTATTTATTTATTTATTTATTTATTTATTTATTTATTTATTTATTTATTTATTTATTTATTTATTTATTTATTTATTTATTTATTTATTTATTTATTTATTTATTTATTTATTTATTTATTTATTTATTTATTTATTTATTTATTTCAATAGTATCCTCCTCCTTGACTTACCTTTGTTGCACTTTTACTCTCTTGCAGCTACGCCCTTCAATTCATTTGGCTTGCCGTGTTGGTTTATCAAAGCCTACTTTCAAGAAATCGAAAAACACCAATCTGTGGTTCATTTTTTTCACCCTCCGTTAGATTTTAATTACACACTACTCTATAGCCAGACTGAATAATATGCAATACCAGCGTTCACCAGGGTTAGTATCAGGTCGCAGTATTGCCCTCTGCAGCCTTCGCTATGGAACGGCTTTGCGTAACTACACCGTGTTTTCCACCATAATATGAGGTGAGCAAACAGTTTGTTCTATAGGGTAAATACCGAGAGATGCGGTATTTTTCGGAAAGAATCGAATGTATCGTTGTGCTTTGTTGGTTCAGCGCGTTAAATGGGGTAATCGATTGGGCTGAAGGCGGCTTTAGGATGTCACTGACTGCAGTGCAACAATAATATCCATTGATTAGAAAGGTATATGGAGCCCTAGAGAATGCGAATAAGAATGGGTAAGTCCGGAGTATTCCCGGTATTGGCGCTTTAAAGGAATGATGGTTTTCACTGGAAAACTAGTACACTGTGGTAAGTATAGCTTACTCTAAATAGCTCGTGTTATGGTCTACCTCTCAGGCGTTACAGAACCCGATGCCGGGGAAGCCATGCCAGCAAAGATTCTTTTTTTACCGCAATATAAAATTGGCTTATTATGTGGCTGTATGCTAAGTATGGGACTGGCTGAGACACAACCGCGAGGCTTCGGACAACCGGTATGCGATTTGCACATCGTTGTACTAGACCTTCAGTTTATATTTTCGCAAACTCCGACTTCCAGTAAATTTGCTTATTTTGTTGAAAAAATACACGCTTTTCGAATGAGGAGACGTGATCGTTGAAATTGAGAAAAACAGAAAAGTGGAGAATTAGATCTAAACTATCCTTTTTCTGCCCGAAAGTTGGATATCGATTAGCGAATAGCGAAATGCGAATTCACGCGTTTTGTCTGGTCTAAGTGAAGGGCGTGGACTTCTCACAATATGATAAGAGTGTTTAGAGAGACGTATTGTTTTGTAGTCTTGTCACTGTCTCACAGCATATCCGAGTCGAACGTAGTGTAATTTGTTGAAGTCCACTTAATGCCTAATGATGCAAACATATTTAAAATCGATCATCTATCCGCATCTGCAGCAGTGAGAAATATTTTGGCAATAAAACACTGGGTGAAACTGAGTGACAAAAGAACGACGGATTCTTCCAAGTTTCAAACCTGAATGTGTTTGAGATGCACTTTTACTTTAGAAGATTTATTCTACAGATACTACTAACCTGCTTGTGTTTGCTGACTCACAGTAAGCTTAACTTTTTAGTGGGAAAGTTCTATCAGTGAAATTTTGGCATAAAATCCAGTATGATCCAGTATAATGAGTCATAGTCAAATACGGCCTGAAAAAAGTGCAACCCAAATCACTTTTACTAGCATATTTGACAGATTTGAACAACGGACACTGCCTCCTTTGTCACACATTCATGCAGTTTCGACTGCATGGCGGAAACCAGCAAAGTTCGATCAAGCTTGATATTTTCATCACATGGCTAAATTTGCTGTAATGTCCGCCGATCACTTTGTTCTCAGTAGACGGAAACAATTAAAGAGTAAAGGAATAAAGAACTAGGCAAGCATATGCTGGTCTGCAAGGATACTCCAAAATGGTGAACTCATTGGATAGAAGTATCCATACTTTTCAGCACTCAGCAAGATCACATAAAAGTAGTTTAAGCTGCAATTTCGTGTTGACCACAAAACTGCAAAAAACCGATGTATTTTCCACTGCACCTCTTGGATGTGGTGCATTCTAATTCGAGTTCCTGATAATAACAAAGAAGTCTATATAGTAACGCTGCTCATTACTTATTTTGTGTTTCGTTCACGTTTAGATATTTAAGATATACATAAATTGGTAGGAGGCTACCAAGTTCCATCCATAGTTGTTTTTTAAAAAAACGGAAACGCTATAACAGAGCGCTGACTCCAATAACAAAAAAACCAGATGGCGATATGTTTGAATTGACAAACTAATCTAATTATTGAAAAGCACTTCCTGTCTAACTACTGTACCTTACTTTTGAGCACGTAAAATGGCCATTGATGTAGTTCGCCTTGTTCAGTTAACACGACTTTGATTGGTTGAATAGAGTTACGAAGCAAGTTGGATGGATAAACGCATTAAACGCCAACAAGTGACAAATCGTAAGCAATAAGCGTGAATTATTAATAATTTTAAATAGGAAATAAGGAAACTCACTGCTGAGATTAGATCGTCTGGAAACACCATTGTTACGAGACACTGCCAGAGTTTGAATTCAAGTGATTCGAAAGGAAAGCCGGTTAGTCCGTAGTGCAGGAAGTTACTAAGAATCAAAATATGCTTGCAGCCACTATTCCGATAGAACACTTATAATTAATTTCAAACAGCTCACCTTAACAGACGAAATTTATGTGTTTGGTCGGTGTTCTAGATTAACCCAAAAGAAACAAATGGAACAAAAACTGCTGCTGCTAACGAGTATTTGTTTAATAAATTAATTACTGCTGTCCGAGCCTTTCTAAAATGTTAAAATTACCACTTTTGGAAGTTGAAAAACTGCATTCGAAGCTACTCTCGATCGCTTACCAAACCAAATTCGGCTAGGTATTTTCTAGCGATCAGCTTGGCAATTTCTTCGCTCGTAGTGTGATAATCTTTTTCGCTGTCTATTTTAGGCTCCGTGAAGATTCTTGCTATCTGGTGATCATTTTGGTGAACAAAACGACGCAGTTTATGAATTGCTCGGCTCTGGCTGATCAAATTCAACATCTTATTGCATCACGCATCAATAGTTCTTCCATATCAAACACCCTATCAGTTCTTTTCCTTATTCACTACCCCCTATACTCGAGAACGTTTTATTCCGTTATGTTAGCGATTGCTCGTGAGTACAAGAGGACCGGACATATGTTATTTTTCCCACAGAAAAGTAAACAGACCAGCCAATGTACGATAAACTGTCGTTGTAAGACGGCAATCCCGTGTTATGTTTACATAATGTTCACAATGCTCTGGATCAATGAGTAGCAGTTTACTAATGATGTAAAGTTGGTAAAAAGCGTTTTTGGAAGAAAATATATGCCATGAAGCTAATCATGGTATTGAATACGTGCATCTTCTAAGCATGTGAAACTCAAAGTTGTCTTAGAACAGTTCTCACATGTTCATTCGTGTGTTCTAATCTTTCATTCGACGGAAACGGTAGAGTGATTGTCCATGGTCAAAACCGTGGATTTCTCTTTTTAGTAGTAGGTGGACCAAATGGAATGTTTAAACTTTGTGGAATGTACTCACTGTTGTCTACATGCTGCCTAACTGGCACCTCTTCTTTTGAATTGTATTGTGGTATCGGTCTTTCGTTTGGTGTTTTTTGAGTATAAGCACATCCTAGAGCTTCTGGGACAGGTTTGTTTGCGTCAGGAATACAGAAACCCAACAAGCTTGGCTGGCCGATAGGAAAATGATTGGACTTTTGGTTCGTGCGTTCTAAACTTGTCGACGGAACCACACAGGTCTCATCAGTCCAGCACTTGTCCGATACACGCTTTGGCGACAATAGTCTGCTGTCTGGGTGACCTGACGAAATTTTGTGCACTAGATTTTGTTCTGACGTGTTTTTGTTTGGCTTGTACGGATCCTGATCTTCCTGTTCTACTTGAACTTCTGCGTCTTCGGTTGCTTCTCTCAACTTTGCCTTCTTCTGCATTTCCAACTCACGAATTTGCTTGCTAAGCCGCTCTTTCGCTTTTCGTTGCGCAATCAGATCTACTTTAGCCTTCCGATAGAGTTCCCGTTTCCGAGTAGTGTTCAGGACAATCATATCACACAACACAGTGGCGATTCCCAATAACGCCAGCCCGGAGCCCAAATTCATAGAAAATTGGATGATATTAAACTTCCCACCTTTTCCATACACAGTGATGAAGAATTGTATGCCGTGTGCTTTGATAAGATTTCGTTTGTGTGTCCCATTCTCCATGTAGTGCTGGCTAAAACGGAAGTTCCATCCTTTGGCTACTGGGCTTTCAAAATCATCCAAACGACGAAACACATATTTTGGAACACATTTCTCTACGTCAAAATCCAGATTGCAGGTCCACTCAATGTGGATTGATACCATACCCCCGTTCTGCCATAGGTTCTTGTTTTGGGCGTCTGAATACTTTAAAATATCTCCGAGACGAAATATCGGGCAAAACTTTAGCCGCTCATCATTTGGATTGTAACGGCAAGTCTTGAGAAATAATTTATCCATCCACTTGAGTATATTGCGGCGCTTCACACGGTAACGCGGAAATTCAATACTGTTTTTTAACATCACGGTAAAATTCTCAGCTGAAGCTAGCAAATGGGGTTTGGGTGTGATATCGTGTTCCGTTGGACACCAACCGTAGATTTCACAAACTTTCAGCCCCTTCTGTCTGGTTGAAGGAACACAGCGACCAGTCTGGACTCCACTCCCGGTCATTACAAGATGACCGGCGGTACACTGCGTATCGTTCGAGCAGTTGTTACCGTACACATCATGTGACTCTTCACAACGTCCAAGTGATTGTCCTGGTGTGGAAACAAGATTAGTCATTACAAAAAACGCCGAATTTTGTTGTGGTGGAATCACATAGTCCGCAGCGTCCCAAACAGACGCACCAATAGCTGGATTGTCCGTAACATTGGCGAACGCAATACCTTTCAGCTTTGCCGTTACGCCGCTGACTGCGTGATCAAACTGTTGATAGCCCTTCTCAAAAATCATCACCCACACGACCACATAGAGGATAATGCCCAGTTGGATGAGGCGGAACGTTATGCCCACCTTCAAAGAGTGAATCTGTACCACCTTTTGCGTTTCATACTCTAACAATCCACTCGCAAAAGCACTGACTGCTGATAAGTATCGCCCCATGTTTTTGTGAGTTCAAACAGATTCGGCCACTCAGGAGACAATTTTATATTTCCCACCATTCTTTTTATCTGGGTTTCGATAGGTTTCAAAACCAGCCAATCCACTGAAATTCCGACTGAGTTAACTGATTGGAGCTTTATGTTTGTCTTTGGAAAGTAGGCACAAAATGATATCGTATTGTCATTCACAACCTCTTTAGGACAGCATGCGACATTTCTTGCCCCAGGTTAATTTACATCTCATATTTCTGTCACTAGGTGCTGTAATCGAAAAAGAAGTTGTAGTAATAATGGGTAACCCGTTAATGTCACACGTCAGATCAAATTTTGACTTCTTGTTTTGCACGCTGACCAAAAACCCAGTTTATCACCTCCTGCACACAATGACAGTGTCAGCGTTCATTTCTGAGAATGGCATGTGTTATTCTGACAACGCGTCATCTCTTTTTGAGACCCCCAGCGAATGCATTTGGACGACATTCTTTTAGGGTGCGCTGCGGGCCGTAGTTTACTCTCGTGGTCGAATTCATCTTCGCAGTGCATGTTTTAGCATGGATGTGCTGTTTTCTGGTCTGTCTATCGAGATTTACGTATGTTTTTATGAATTTTTTTAATAAGGTTGCAATTTTTGAGAAATACCGTAAAACTGACCACTTGAACACAAATGAAAATGAAAACTCAGTTTTATTGAACAAAGGCTTCAGAAACAGCGGATATGCCGTAGAGATTTAGCAGAGGGATATGTGTAATGCTTTTTCTATCCATAGTGACTCCGAATTTGCACCAGCCATATGGAAGAGATGTTCTCACTACGGAGCGAATGAATATTTGTACAGTTCATTACACGGATTTGGAATATCTCAAACAGTTTTCCGGATTTTCACTGTCGCATACGATGAAGCCGAATAAAGCTATTATACTAAGGGCCATTTAAAAGAAGAAATACCGCAAACAGGAAATTTTGCACAAGTTGTGTCGTGGCACTTGGTAGTATCACTGTAATGGTCACGCAACACCTGATACCATGAATGAAACAAAACTCAAACTATCCTATGGTACTGCAAACCTACGTGAATTCTACTTGTTGTTTTCACCACATGACGGGAAAACTGGTAAAACATATTGAAGATCACTGACAGGCTGCGACCAAGTCCGGAACAAATCAAGGAATGAACGATGTGATAATCTCCTACTTGCCGGACAGGTCATCTAAACAGTTTGGTCATAGCTTCTGTCATGTGTGATGTCCGAGCGTGTTGTCCCAGTGCATTTTGAATGGTTGCCAAGACTAAACGCGCAACTACCGTGCTACGCCCGTCCATCTGGTGTCCCTACAATAACCGAATCCAGCCAAGAGCAATGACATGACCATCCAATCTCTCAACCAGCGGGGTTTATCAGAACAAAAACAAAACGCAGTGTCCACGTGTTATACTTGCGTATTTCGCCCACAAAAGTATGCCTTGACCAGTTTTTCGTGCAGAATGACGGGCTGTAGTTGCCAAAACCAACTGATTCCCGAAAGTAATTCATTTCGCTCAACTGTTCCTTTTTCATTTGTGATGTGTTTGGTAAAGTAAGACGCTTAGCTACTTACCGTTGTGTCTGTTAGACTTACCAATTTTGAAATTTTCAAGACTTCCATTCTTTGAGCCCTTGTCGCTCTTCGTGCGCCAGTCCTGCTGTCGTGAACAAACGCTCCTCGTTTGTCTCACTCTGCAAGGGTCTCATCTTTATAAGAGTGCACCAGCACAGCTAGGGCCGCAACAGAATTCAGACAATGAGCCTTTGCGGCATGTGTTAATAATAATAAATCAAGGCGTTCGAAAATTATAAACAAATAAGAATTTCGACATTTTGTCCGAAACGTTCAATCAACCAGATGCCAAATGAACCGGGATAACCGTGTCGGAAAAATCGAAAGACTAGACAAGAGTGATGTGAATACGTCGTTCATCCCGATGTTGCACAAATAAATGCACAAGGAACTTTTAACGAACTATCTCACAAATGTTACTACATTCATTCTTCCTTACCAAATGCAAGAATTTACATATTGTAGAACAGAAATTTACAGATAGAGAAGAACAATGTCTCTTATCCTACATCCTGTTTAAGAAGTTAAAACAGAAGAAGTTACTTTGTCTCACATATAAAGACGCCTTCTACCGGTAGACAGAGAAAAATCCTATACTTTCGGAAAAACAAGTAAGTGAAGCCAGAACCCTATGCTTTATGAGGAAGCTCCGGTTGCAGTATGACCCACAGGACAAGGCAGGTCATACTGGCAAACTTCTCGGTGTGATGAATAGAAGCAAGCTTCATTTACACTTCGACGTGCGTAATGGTGCACATTGTAAACGTATATAGAAACGACTGACAAAGGGTTTTTAAGCTATAAAAATCCCAGCGTTTTGGCGGATTAAAAACAGAATCAGGGTAAGTTAGAAGGCACATGTGGAGACTTTTTAACCGAGGAGCGCGTATTCAAACTACTTATGTCATTCCGCTTGTTGGACGAGGTGCATTGGAAAATTACAGTGGTATTAACCCCCACTGCGAGATGCTTACATATATCCCCGAAAGCTAAGGATGAGCTGATTAGTTGGATATCCTGTCTGATAAATGCATCATAACTTCTAGGGAATTGAAAGGCCGTACTATCGCTATTCTTCAAAGATGGGAATGAACAAGTTCGTCTCGCAAAGCGGTCCAACTGTTGGACCTGCTTAATCCGGAGTCGGTCAAGCGAAAACCAATAGAACCCTTAAGCACATGCGCCAAAACAGCGATAGATAGATGTCTTGGAGTCTATCATGATTAGATGTTCCAGATTCATGCACTAACTTCAGTATACTTTTATGTATTTAGTTTACCAGTGTACTTTTCGATTCTCACTAATTGAGAGACGGACATCATGATATAAAACGTTAAGAAGCGCAAATCATCAGAATGCATTCAATTATTACTTTAAGGCCATCTGTGAAAGATTAAATGGGTTGTATTGCTCGGTGTCTGATAGAACCTCCCCGCAAAATCTTCATTCATTTGGACAAAATTCTGTTAGCATTTACAAAACTGGGTTTGCATCAGTTTCGGCATATTTGAAGTCTTGTCATCTTCTTTCCGATGATTATCAGTTGAGTTTAAGATTCAATGAAACATCACATGTCGCTATTGATCCACTGGATGGAATTCTGATAACGGGATAATTAACGTGGAATGGTTCGTCTGATTCAAACGTACATTTCATTATCGGCTGTGAAATCATCCGCTCAGGCGTCGCTGCTGGCATCTTCCGTAATCACAAGACTACCGTTCGAAAGTGATCTGCTAGGGGGTGAGTGAAATCTCTCACATACAGTAACTTCAGATGAGATGGACACGGTGTCTGAGTTATTTTGCGGAATTCGAAACCATCCGCCTCTGTTATAGCCTGGCCAATTTAACTCATCTACGATGCCTCCTGGAAGTATCCAGCACCGTGTGTGGATGTTTCTCAGAAAAATATGATTTTTCGGAAGGATTTCTGAAAAACTGTGCTATTCAGTTGACAGCACAAATCGTAGGATACACATCTGCGCTTTTTTTATTTACATCGTCAACCAAATGAAACAAATGACGCTTTTACTTTCCCGAAGTACCACAATTCATTTTTATGAGTCCGAGGTGATGATACCTCTGGGTCATGGACTTGCTATTACGGAAAATTATATCCTTTTAAGTTTAGTAGTTAAGCTTCAGACTTTTTCAAGAACAAAAAACCCAAAAGCATGCATTTTTCCAACAGTGTGCGCAGTATTTTATTCGACAAATTTGCTATAGATTCTTCTCCTGTGAATGAGATTCGTCGACACTGACGGGAATTTCATGTCTTCTGTGTCTGATCAGCAATATACAGTCAATAATTCACGGAGGAGAGGGCCCACGAAAGAGCCGGGTGTAGCAATATTTGTAATGAAACAAAGAAGTATGGTGCTATTGGCTCCCCATGAAAGCACGCGTGCTTATCTTTTGAGACCGGGCTATCTCTGCTGTGCTGCGAAAAACCTTTAGTTGAGATTTCTCTCACCTACACAGAATGCGCTGCCCGGATAACTCACTGGAAAGTTTCGTGAATTTGCACTTCAACACTCTAGTCCGAACCCCCACATGGGTGCTTGAATGTGACCTTCCTCAAATGTCTTTCGCACTCGGGAAGACCATTACTTCTTGGCCGAGTCGGGCAAATATTTTATACTACTTATGCTACTCATATTATTATTAGTAGTTTGACTTTAATGAAAGTACTGCAGGCCAAGATTAGCATGGTGTATCACGATACAGCAAAAACGGTGAATTTTCCACAGACGAATTCATGCAGCTGAGTGATGAATCACTACTTTTATGCAGGCGTGAAATTGGATGATACAAATTAGCTGGCTGGCACGGATTTCTGTTTTCAGATTCATGCTCCAACTTGCAACATTTTGCTCACAAATTTGCGTAGTTGAAATTTGCGCCCTACTTCACCTACTGTGTATTCGAGTATAGTAAAAGGTCACACAAAAAAGCTACGGGTATAATAAAAACTGTCTGAATCAAAGCAATTTTTACATCTTCTACCTTGTACTGGAACAAAAGCTGAAAGCTAAACAACGGAGCTCCGGTTGATAAATGTATGGTTGTGTCAGTGATTTTATGTATCAAAAATGGAAGCGATCGATAAATGTGATGTCTAAGCGGTTCGGTTTACCAGCACAAGACAACACGCACATTGAATTATCGATAAATTTGCAACCTAAGAAACTCACCACTGTTAGTGCCTTATGCCCAGTCGTTACGCTTTGTTATGCCTTGTGAGTTTTGCCGCTTCCCCCTGCCCATTCTGGTAAGTATTGGCCGATAATTACCATTTGTGAACATACTTGTAACCATACACTAAGGAGAGATCTCTACTCTTCTCGCTCATTTTCACAAAGTAGGGGAAAATCACCTCCGTTATTCTAAGGAAGATGCCAT